CCCAGTAGTCCGAATCAATATAAGCAGGTCGGTAGCCCACCCAATAACAAATAAGGTAGGCTACGCTATTCATAGCTAGCACGGCAGTACACAAAGTTTACAGGTTTGAAAAGCGACCGACCAGAACACCAGCATAAATCCCCAATTTGAGGTAAATTCTCGAGGGTTTTCTTCCTCATTAACAACAGCAACAACAGGGACAGCAACACGAAACTGATATTTTGTTCGAGGTGTGGAATACAAATCTCTTCGTACAAGATGGTTTGGGAGAAAAGACGAATATAACGTCAAGCTTTATGCAAACAAGTATCCTGCAACCGCCCCCAGAACGTCAGAGCGCTGTCGGCTTGTTAACACAGCTCTTCCAGAAGTCAGGCGTACATCTAAGGGGCATATACAACGACTAGTCACGCCGTCGCCAGGATAAAGCCTGAGCCAAGCGAAAGCTTGATGATTGGAAATCGATCGAAATCTTTGGGCACCCGAAAAGCAGTTTTTGACTTCTGCTTCTAAGTGCGCAATAATTTAGCAGGCTACAGCGCCATAATGCACATCTTGCTCAACCACGGTGGGTAGGACAACGCTAAGGATACGGACACTTCTATTAAAACAAACTGACGAACAGAAAACACCCCATATTTGGGAAATAACGTTGCCCTTGTCCTCCATGTGAGCAGGATCTACTAGGCGGTATTATTTAGGACCTCAACAGGGCTTCCAGTGTGGACTGAGTGGTACATAAAGAAACATGTTGAGAAATTCACCAAACAATAAGGCGCACCTCGTCTTCCGCAACGAAGAGCACAAGGCATGAGTCGGACATTGGCCAACCAACCAAGAGGGAACTACTCACACACTCGGAGAGTCAGTCGTGGGAACGAGCGATGCCAGAGGATCCGAAGGAAATGCGGGGATATCGATCTCCAGCTATAGCGTATCAGATCTGGATAGTCTATTCATGGAATCACTTGTGCCTTGAAGGGCCACAACCGCGAAGCACATAACGCTACTCCTGGAAATCTTTGAGCGCCATTGGTTATTGGATTGCTGAAAAACAGAGAGTCGGGGCAAACTCTTGGCAGGAACGAACTGCAAAACTGGAGCGCATCCATTATGAAAAACAGGCCTAATTTAATTCAGGTTCATTCTTTTCAGCAAATTTCGGGTCCTATGCTCTCCGCTCGCTCGATGGAGTTCATTTTTAACATTCATGCGGCTGGATGCTCTACCATTTAAATGGGTTTTGTTGATGTCCCGAAATAATGGTTGCCTGGCTGTTTTCAACCAGCAGTGAATAAAGGCTCCTCCGTATTTTGCCCCAACTCCGGACTATTGACGTCCAATACTTTGACTTCAAAACACGCCTGGGTCTTGAAAACATGCCAAGCATTTTATTCACAGTTATACGGCACAAACCCGCATTAATACGTTTCCGCATGATAACCCAGTAGTCCGAATCAATATAAGCAGGTCGGTAGCCCACCCAATAACAAATAAGGTAGGCTACGCTATTCATAGCTAGCACGGCAGTACACAAAGTTTACAGGTTTGAAAAGCGACCGACCAGAACACCAGCATAAATCCCCAATTTGAGGTAAATTCTCGAGGGTTTTCTTCCTCATTAACAACAGCAACAACAGGGACAGCAACACGAAACTGATATTTTGTTCGAGGTGTGGAATACAAATCTCTTCGTACAAGATGGTTTGGGAGAAAAGACGAATATAACGTCAAGCTTTATGCAAACAAGTATCCTGCAACCGCCCCCAGAACGTCAGAGCGCTGTCGGCTTGTTAACACAGCTCTTCCAGAAGTCAGGCGTACATCTAAGGGGCATATACAACGACTAGTCACGCCGTCGCCAGGATAAAGCCTGAGCCAAGCGAAAGCTTGATGATTGGAAATCGATCGAAATCTTTGGGCACCCGAAAAGCAGTTTTTGACTTCTGCTTCTAAGTGCGCAATAATTTAGCAGGCTACAGCGCCATAATGCACATCTTGCTCAACCACGGTGGGTAGGACAACGCTAAGGATACGGACACTTCTATTAAAACAAACTGACGAACAGAAAACACCCCATATTTGGGAAATAACGTTGCCCTTGTCCTCCATGTGAGCAGGATCTACTAGGCGGTATTATTTAGGACCTCAACAGGGCTTCCAGGGTGGACTGAGTGGTACATAAAGAAACATGTTGAGAAATTCACCAAACAATAAGGCGCACCTCGTCTTCCGCAACGAAGAGCACAAGGCATGAGTCGGACATTGGCCAACCAACCAAGAGGGAACTACTCACACACTCGGAGAGTCAGTCGTGGGAACGAGCGATGCCAGAGGATCCGAAGGAAATGCGGGGATATCGATCTCCAGCTATAGCGTATCAGATCTGGATAGTCTATTCATGGAATCACTTGTGCCTTGAAGGGCCACAACCGCGAAGCACATAACGCTACTCCTGGAAATCTTTGAGCGCCATTGGTTATTGGATTGCTGAAAAACAGAGAGTCGGGGCAAACTCTTGGCAGGAACGAACTGCAAGGGTAAACCCGTGAAACCAGGGGCTGATGACTGGATTCTGTCGCCACTAGCAAAGCTAGTCGGTTTGATAAGCACCTAAGACATATAACACGACGATCTAGTGAGTCTTACTTCGCGTGCCGGATAGCGCCGTTTTTGACCGAATATGGACCTAGCCATCTAGCGATGCCGTTTGGATGTGAAGAAATCTGGTGAAGCAGCTTCCTCCTTGATGTTGTTCATCGTTACCCCTCAACTTTGCTAGATGGCAGCGTGTTCTTCGAATGCATTCCGGTTTGATTTCCAATCTACCTGTCAGATTCACATCCCTCACTGTTAACTGACTCTAAAATTCTAAGGACGCCTCTGGATGAAATTGCAGCAAGTCAAGGCTAGTAGCCATTCGGCACCAAAGCTGAATCGAATTGAGTGTTTCGCCTGCTGGATTCAGGAGGTCGGCGCACCCGTCAAACATTGCAGAGAATACATACGAACTGAAAGAATACGATGACATTTTTAATCCTCCATTACTAGCCTTCATAGCTAGCGCCATTAGGTTTATTCTCGATGCAACACTGATTCGCTGGAACTGATAGCGGTGATCGGAGGACTGGCGTCTCATTTCTTTACTTTCATTGTCCCTCGTCAATCATGGTACTGTGGTGCTCACGTAGAAACCTTCGGTTACGCTAGTACTTGTGCATCATCTAGAAGGTTCTAGCTGTAGCTTTCCTTACGTGGCTGCTGTTCCTTATCACACAAACACTGCGAAACGCAATCTTCCAAACTGGTCTCTAACAAAGCTCAACGCTACTACCGCTCCGTCCAGCAACTGCTACCATCAACTAGGCCAGTGACCATCTATTTTGCTAGTTACCTTATCGGTTAACCACGTGCCTTGCCGAAGTGCACGCAAGCGCTCTCTCGCCAGGGACCTTACGCCTCTTGGTCGACTGATGTTACACAAAAGCGCGAGGCAAGACTTTACAATGACGGCCAGCGCTCTCTCGCCAGGGACCTTACGCCTCTTGGTCGACTGATGTTACACAAAAGCGCGAGGCAAGACTTTACCAATGACGGCCTCTTGCATAGCAGTGTGAATAAGCTACATAGCTGCGAGCCATAAGCAAACTTATTCTGGTTTATTCCATGCCTCTTGCAACATATTAACCCAAAATTGACAGCCTTCGCCAGCCCAAGGATTCTAGGTTACTAAGCGTAGTATCTACCCCAATATTGGTTAATTTAGCATTTGGCGATCTACGCCAGCTGGAAGGAACTTTCGGTTATTTTCTATGTACGAACTTTATGCTACTTGATATATCCTCACAGCTACAGGTCTTATCACATTCCCTTCTATTCCCAAGTTTTGACCTTCGGCGGTAGCTGCTTAGAAAGCACATTATGGTCGTTATTCACTTCACCTTTTCTCTGCTTTAAAGCTGCGTGGATCTCCAAATGAACCAAAAATACCTGCGACCCTGCATCTGTGTTCTTCTACCCGTATGGATATTTTTGACTGACAATCATACTGCCCAGAGAATTGCACGTCCCATATCGGATCACCTCAATCATTAAGTCCTTACGGGGCTGCATGGAAACGGAAGTTCGTCAGCGCGATGTTGACGTGGCACTTACCTACCCATTTTCATTACATTTGCAAATATTTTATCGCTGGAGTGCTAACTCCCGTCCCCTCGGAACCTTAGCTGCAAATAAGAAGAAACCGCCTAATCGACCCAAACCGATTCTAGTACTGTGTTGAACTAATCCGTCAGATTCTTTTGCCGGACTTAAATATCTCAATGCACCTCCGGTTCTTCTCCCCACAAGTTCAATGAGTTTGATTCCAGTTTACGCTTTTCCCTATGCGTCAGCACTGCCTCACCATCATGTGGAACTTTTCAAACCTAACAATACCCAGAAGCGACACCAGTGGACCCATCCAATTTTACCGTGCACTGTGTTTCCGCCATGCTAGCTACCATAGGTCCCTATCGTAAATGTCTTCACCTCAGCGAGCCGCCTCGAGAATGGCTGCTGGCCTCAAATCCGTGAACTAGGAAACGCGTCTCGCGATGCTTGATCTCTTTCCCCTGGAGTACCTTCGCCTCCGAGAGGACCTAATTCTTAATTATGCCCTGTTTCAACAACGCCTGGTAAACAGGTTTTTTACCGGTGAACCAGCAAACACCCGGCGNTATCAATCCGTGAAGCCGTGAATCCGTGAACTGCCCGAGGTCCGATCTTCAGTGATGGTTTTGAGTTTCATACCACTGGTTGATGGAGTGGTTTTAATATGCTCACAGTTTTACAATAAAACGTAGTACACAGTGAAGGAAGGTTTTGGATTTTGCAAATCATATGGGCGCCTAGTCACACAATTCGCACAAGTGCCCTCCTATTTTGTCCAAGTCCCTCAAAAGCTATTCATCTGAACTGGCCTTGGGCAAATTTTCGGCCTTCATCGCATGGGCGCGGGTGTTTGCGCTACTGCTTGCACGGGTAATTTGCTCGGATTTATCCGGATATGAGGGATAGATTGTGTGCTTTAGCCCCTTATTTGGGCTTAATTCAGGACCTCAATAATGAAGTCACTGGTATCAAATGTATTAAGATCCTCAACTCCCACCGTGTCATCTGACAATACACTTGACAACTCTCACATTAATGCAATACTTCGGCAATCCATCCCCCGTGCAATACTGGGCTCTACCCATCTCACCCCATCTTGCGAGATGGTTTCTGACTCCATAACAGGTGGATTTCACTACTTCGACGAGCACTCGCTTGGAGCTGGTGGTTTGATTTTGGATGCCAAAGTGTCGTCAGATGTCTTTCTCGGCCATAGAATGCCATTGTTGCCCAGCTTTACCGATAACAAAGCGGTGAACCGTCTGTCGGTCGCAACAGACTTTCCCCGTAATGATACCAACCAGTTCCGATCCTACAGCAACTCACCGCCCCCACCTGCATTATCTCCTGCAAATTCCTCTCCGCGTCCCAGCGCTGGTCAGTTTAATCAAACAGCATCCCCTTCTCCTCCTATAATCGTTGCAGAAATAGGGGGGCAGTCTTCTGCTTCTTCCCGAGCTACTTCGGAGAAAGGTTCGAACACCGGAAGAGCAGCTGACTACTTCCTCGCGACCAGCATCCCTCCCAGGTTCAAGGAAATTCGAAATCATGCTGGAAAGTCCCTCACCGTCCCAGAAATTACCCCAACGTCCTCTTCCAGCCCCAGTAGTTCATCCTCTACTTCCTCGTCCGCCCTAAGTGATCGTGTGGAATACGTAGCAAATGGCCTACCTATTTTGGAAAAAATTTCCATTGCCTTAGGGTCTCCCCTCCGAAATTTAGCAGAGTCCAGCCACTCCACTCAACACAAAGACGACAAAGCTATGGGGAAGGGCTCATGTATTGGGAGCCCAATTATTCCTGAAGTATCGACATCTGTGTATGAGCACTTTAAGGATCTGTCTGCATCACTGAGACCAACTGTCTTGGCGGATCGCTTGGAAAATGTTGAAAATCTTGCGAACGTCCTAAAACCACAAGAACAACCCCTTGTTTCTAGGCGGAAGAGTAACGCACGTCGTAGAGGAGGTGGACAGAGGCGGAGTAGACTGAAGAACAGGAAAGTAGATTCTGATTCAGACTTTGAAGTCGGTGGAACGCGTTTCGGAAGAATGACTCGTGGCAGACGCCTGGGACCCCGTGTTGTTGACAAACACGGGCCCTCCAGGAAGTGAGCATGGTTATTCTTTTTTCACTGTTTCCTACCATGCATTTATTCTGAGGCTTATTTATTTTGTTGTTACAAAGTTCTGCCGTCCAGTCCATCGAACCACTGGAGGCCATACTCCCTATTGGGTTTCAGTTCATCAAACTTACTTGATAAGCTTGGAGGATCATGTATACAGGCCGCTACCATTTTGACAAATTACTCTTAAACTTAGATCCTTGAATAAAAACAGTGTTGGCATTGCGTAGTCATGCACCGCAACGAAGAACATCTCAGATGTTTCGATAAACCGTATTCTAAATCCGCGATGCGAGGCACAATCTCGTATCTTTTATTTGTTGCTTCACTTTCCGTTTCGTCAGATGTGTATACGAGCAACAGCTACTCCAAATAATCAGAGCGGAAGAAAACTGGTCAGCTGTAGCATCTTCGGTAAAAAAACCTTCATCTGTAGCACCCTTTCGGGTCTAACTGCCATGCCACCCGGAGGTTGGATGAGAGCTGGGATACTGCCAGGTTGCCTAAGCGTAGACAGGTAAGGTCGAGAAGCAGAGGTCGAGTTCGAACCATGAACCTTCCGGTCAGTAAATTCGTGCTCTAACCACTGAGCCATCTCGCCCCGCAAATATACCTCGCACCTACCCGATGGGAAACAGCAGTATTCTTCCTCTGTATGCCCTGCATAGGATGCGATTCACTGACCTAGAGTTCTTTCGTTTGGGCCCACCCCCGGCTTTCTATTATATTGTGGTATCTCTGATCTTCAGTGTACACGGTAACAATGCACAAAAGGTACTACGCCCTTCTCATTTCACTCTGAATTCACCAACCGGTTTACATCAGGGAAGCATCAGTGTTGAGCACTGATGTTACGCTGTTGATGGTACTGAACGGCTTGTCTAGCGAGAACAACCACACTACCGTAGCAACGACAGGCTCTTCTGGAGGTAGTTATCACAGCCTGGCGAGTCGCAATAGTTGTGGGGCGGGGCTTTTGGACTGTTCAGTGTAGGCTCTCAGTAGTCCAGAAATGTCAGTGTATAATACGATGTTTACTTACAAAATTCAAGGACGTTCCTATTCGTCTGTGTAATTGTACCTGCAGTGTAAAACACGTCCATGTAATCAGTGGAAATGCCGAATGTTCGTAATTGGTGTGGGTAGTGCTCGCACTATAGGGATATGTTCGATGCTTCATCTCTTCGAGGTCACACTTGATGTACTCGGATTCGCACCTCACGTACCAGAGCTCGACGTTACGGTGTTGCGGAGGATATCAACCATATGCGTCTAGTCCATCTTCCAGAATCACTGGGTTTCACTGTTCTGTTTCCCTAGATGGCTTAGCAATGGTTTGGTGGGATTTTACTGGGGGACTAGCAGGTTGAGTGATCGACTGAAGGTGCCTATTGAACCGTGTTCTGAGGGTTTCTAGGTTGGTTGTAACTGAGTGTGTGGCGCTAGGAAGTTCTAGAGCCCACAGACCTGTGGAACTAGAAATACCGACCGAAACCAAATTAACTGTGTTTTGAAAAGGTTTGCTGTCATGCCCACAGACTTTGGTCCTACTAGCTTGAGTGAGTTGTGAGCCTCAAGGGTGGCCAGAGTTTTGCGAGACTTGGAAAGTTAAGTTGGGTTTAGTATTAAGAGGACGTCTATGTCAGCTATCACAGTTTCGGCCATCGGAGAGTGGTAGTGCGCGAAAGACGTAGCCAAGCAGTGGAGGTAACAGCACAATAAGTTTGTTCTTGTCTGGATGATTGAAGACGTCGAAGCCGATGATTTTGATGCAGGTGAGCCACCTCCAGATTGAAAAGGTGCCTATTGAACCGTGTTCTGAGGGTTTCTAGGTTGGTTGTAACTGAGTGTGTGGCGCTAGGAAGTTCTAGAGCCCACAGACCTGTGGAACTAGAAATACCGACCGAAACCAAATTAACTGTGTTTTGAAAAGGTTTGCTGTCATGCCCACAGACTTTGGTCCTACTAGCTTGAGTGAGTTGTGAGCCTCAAGGGTGGCCAGAGTTTTGCGAGACTTGGAAAGTTAAGTTGGGTTTAGTATTAAGAGGACGTCTATGTCAGCTATCACAGTTTCGGCCATCGGAGAGTGGTAGTGCGCGAAAGACGTAGCCAAGCAGTGGAGGTAACAGCACAATAAGTTTGTTCTTGTCTGGATGATTGAAGACGTCGAAGCCGATGATTTTTATGCAGGTGAGCCACCGCCTGCCAGATTGAACCATGCCCACCATCGTCGTTAACCACTGATGAGTTGAATCTCGGCCCCACCATCTAGCAAGGTCAAGCGGATTATGTTCACTAGTGTGGAAGGTAAGGTCGCCACACAAAGTACAGTCAACCGAGTGGAGGTTAAGACCTGTGTTGTCAGAACCCGACCGCGTAGGGATATAGTTCGAATCTGATTCTAAATCTAATGGCATGGACTGTCAAATTGAACTAGAAAACAGACCCTTGATATGGATCATCAGGGTCCTCAAAACAGCACGACAAAACGGTGCACACGAGTTGCGACCAACAGTAAAACTGGCACAACAGCGTCTGTGCACACCAACAACAAAGGTCAACGACAGATTGTTTGTAACAAACAGGACTTGAGGTGGCCCAAGGACACGTCGCTTAACAAGTCTCACAGTTGTTCGATCCGACTAACGCAGGTTGTGGGGTGAAGCCAAGCAGTTGAAGCTGGTCCAGTAACAAAAGGTTGTTAAGACTACATGCGTGAACAGGATATAGAAAATGAAAAATAGAAGCGATTTCGTGAACAGTTGGAGAGGATTTTTCACCTGCACATGGCACAGTAACTGCAGAGCTCGAGATAACCCAGTTGTTAGGGCGCATATTTACTGATAGGAAGAGCCTTACTTCGAACCTAATTTCTGCATCTCGACTGCTCCTGTGCAGGCTTGGGCATCCTGGCAGTACCTCAGCCCTCGTTCTTCCTTCGGATGTCTTAATCATTATCAGCTGTAAGAACCGCGTACTTGTACAGTGGTCGTAGCTGCCACAGTTTCGTTCACCGATGATTCGGGGAGGTGGGGTAGGTAGCTGCGCATTGGAGGCGGAAGCTGATAAATTAGTGCGTAAAAACAGTACTGTCAGTGGACTGGTGAGTGTGGGCTAATAGGGGAGGGAGCCATACATTGAAGGCAATAGCTTGAATGCGCGAGCGCCATTGAGGACGCGACTGGGCCATGTCTGAAAATGTCTCTAATCATTGATATGGCTCGTCTCGGGGTCCCCATCCAGGAAGACGGCAGTGACCAGGAATGCATAGCAGCTAAGCACCGGGGGCTAAATGATTTTTATACTACAACTCCTGGCTAACTGCTCTTCATAGAGAAGACGATGGAAAGCGCTCATCAAAGTCATGGCTCACTCTTAGGTGTACTTGAACAATCTCTTTGTTTACATCTGGGCGCCCTGGCACCATCACCGCCCACGTACATCCGTGAACTGCCATATCGGCCGTCGCGTGGTGTCATCAGCTAGGTCACCTTACCTGCTGCATACAGCAGGACTTGCAAACGGAAACTGACTATTGCTGGCGTCTCCCTTTCTTCTCTTTCATATACATTCCCACTCCCCCCACTCTATTAATAACTTTCTCTGTAACCCCACCAGTCATTACTGATGACTCCGTTCGTCCTATGTCGGTTTAGGCAGCAACGTCTGTGCGTCATGCAGTGTTGACATCCTCAGGTAGCTGGAAATCAATCTTCAAGCATCGCCGTCCAATATGTCTGGCTGCTTTTAATATTCACACTATAAAGCAAGCAGGACATCATCATCATTGTCAGCTGTAATAACCGCGTACTGGTCGTACAGTGGTTGTGGCTGCCGCAGTTTCGTTCACCAATGATTCGGGGAGGGGGGGTAGGTAGCTGCGTGTTGGAAGCGTTCAGCTGTAGCACCCTTCCGGTGCCTAGCTGCCATGCCACCCGAAGGAAGCACGAGGGCTGGGGTACTGCCAGGTTGCCCAAGCCTAGGCAGGGAAGTCGAGTGGCGGAGGTCGGATTCGAACCACGAACCTTCCAGTCAGTAAATTCGCACTCTAACCACTTGGGCCATCTCGCCCCCGCGTGTTGGAGGCGGTAACTGATTAATTAGTGCGCAAATACAGCACTGGATGGAGTGTTAAGGGAAGGGAGCTATGCATTGAAGTCCATAGCTTGCATGCATGAGCGCCATTGAGGGCGCGACTGGGCCATGTCTGACAGTGTCTCTAACCATTGATATGGTTCGTCTCGAAGTCCCCATCCAGCAGGACGTCAATGACCAGCGCACCTGAAAGCAAGCAGGACAGAAACCTGCTATTACTTTCATGCTGGACTCGCTTGACATTGTTGCGTGCTGTGTATCCAAAGCAACAATTCAGGATGTAAGCACAGTGATTAAGCTAACTGCCTCACTACTATCCACTGACTTCAGGCTGTGTACTTCTGGCGATCTGAAGGCCGTTGCGGTAGGATAGGTTTAGAAGCCTAGGCAGTGCTTGCCTCATAGAACATAAGCTGCCTAGATATGGGCAGAATGTCCAATTTCTAATAAATATCGCATGGAGATTTTGTGATCGTTTTCGTCGTGATTGTAATCTCTGTTTTTTAGGTAGTCCATCGCAACCTCCATTATTCGAATCCTTGAGTAAGCTGATCGAGAAATTGCTCTTGCGTGCACACTTGATACTTTGTCGACAGACTTTGGCTACATTCTTGATACCCGAACATAATTGAGTCCACTGAACCCTTGCTGTCTAGGTGCAAAGTTCGGGCGATTTTCCACCTGCCGAAGCTGGTTTTGGTATTTATACCAGCTCCTGAGCTGAGACATTGCTTTCTTGGATACCTGTAAATAGTCGCCTCCATCCATCCACTTCCTAAAGACTCGCACCGGTCAAAGTAATAATTGCCATTTGTCAATGGTTTTTGCTTATACACCAGTCGTCTACAGCACCGACTCCGTGAGAGGCATTTTCGCCGTTCTGACATAGTCCTCGTCGCAGATTTTACTGCACAAGTCGGACGCCTTAGTTCAAGCGAGACGTTATTCGGTGGCAAGTTTAGTTTTGACACAAGATTTAATGCCGAATGCCTCACAACTCTGTGCTGACCGCCAATTAGGCACAGTGGACGCCGTAATGTTACCGGGCCTCCCCTACTGTTGAAAAAAACTGAGGAGCAGAATGGATCACTTGGCCGTTAGCTTCCGGTAACCAAGCTTAGTACTCGAGGGTCGATCAATCTAGATCACTAAATTTCCAAGAGAAACTCAAGAATCAAATTTCCCTCCCAGCAGCCGAAAAGTTTTCTTATCACGAAATTAAGCAAACGCACCATACCATGTAATGCTTTGAAAGAACGAAGACATCAGTCGTGATACTAGAACATTGGCATGTGATGTCTGGGAGCGCGCATTACTTATCACTGGAATTCAGATCGGTCGCTGTTACTTACTGATGCAAGACATCGTATCCCTCTGAATCGTAGTACAATTCGGCTAGACAGTCGATTGAACGAAATTTGCGTGTAGATAGGAAAGCGCAGTGGAATCAGCCTATCTAGATGAGCTTCCGTCAGCACTGCTCAATGTCTCTTTGTGTTGTACCTTGACTAGATACTTCAACTTTCTTGGGAATAAGGTGTTTCATACAACTGGGACCAATTGATCATCTGTTCATCGATCATCTCCGTTCAAAGAGTTACGCAACAAAAAATCAAATGACAACAAGCCGTTCAGCTCTAAAATCCTTTCGGTGCTTAACTGCCACGCCACTGGAAGAAAGCACGGGGGCTGGGTTACTGTCAGGTCCAGACCAAACAGGAACAGTTCAGATTCTGAAGTTGGGTTCGAACCATTGACCTTGCGGTCCGTTATCTGGTACCTTATCCCCTGAGCTATCTCGAGCTCGAACCAAAAAGTATCGGCCTAACGCTTATCATAACGTGGCCGCCGGCATCAGCAATACTGCGAGTTGTAACACAGGCACGTGAAACACAAATTCGTTTACTCCGTGTAGGAAGTACATTGATCGCATCTTTACGTTACGGGCACTTATCTCCTTCTTATGATGCTCTCTAAATTGTGTTTATTCAGATCCAGACTGATTAAGTCAAACAAGTCTTCTGATTTGCCACGACGAGCTTCGGCAGAAACAACCTTCAACAGGCGCTACCTCGAGTCCCCTTTCCTCTGTCTTTGTCAGTCTGGTGGAACGGTATCAAGCATTTCCCAAGCAGTTCAGCGACTCCATCATCATCGGTACGCCTCTTCGGCCCAGCAAGATCACACCATTGCTTCCTGCTCAACAGACGCATCAGCCGTCGCAACCTCTCATCCAGCTCATATCATCTGTCCTGCTCTCCAAGACTTGTCCTGCTCCCAGAATGGAGTGAATTCGCTATACGCTCAGTCGTCCATTCCTTCTAACTGTCCTCTCAACACCTCGGCTCGCGGCGCGGACCCGTTGCTTGTAAATCCTGTAATGGAAAATTCCGAATCTCGAACTCTGTTTTCAAGTATGTCCTGATCTATTTTCCTTATGGTACAGCCGTATCCGCACTAGGTCTGTAGGAACCAACGGGAACGACGTCTTAGTCTCGGCACACCGGGCTGTGGCCATGCTTATGGATGTATAGGCTGTTGTTCACCAGGACATCGCACATTTTTGCTAGGATGTGGACGTGAACGCTAACTCAGTTTAACAACGTCCCAATAAAGTGAACTTCAGATTACGGTAACTTCAATTAGCAAGTGCATAAGTCCCCTCCCGGCAAGGACGTTCTGTGGTAAAAAACAAAGTGGTCACTTCTGGAAGGTCGCCCTAGTCACCGGTTTCACTTGATGACCACCTGCCATTGATTTTACCCCAATTGGTTGAGAAGGTCTCCACGCAAACAGGGACATAAGTGAGACGCGCACCCTGATCGGTTGGGATTTTCTGGTCACCAACACTGCTTGGCGCTTGACCTAAAAAGTGTGTCTTTCCGCCTTTGAGGCCATTGGGGGGTCTCAAGTTTACTCTTCTGGGTTCTTTTATGGGTCGAAATTCACACCGGATGCGATCATATGGTCGGTTGAAGTATTTTTTGAGGTTTTTGACAGACACCTTCCCTTTTTCAATTGTTCCGTTCACCTGCTAATAGTCGATGGTAATTCGAACATTCTTAGACCTATGTGTGAGGATTACGAATAGTTTGTCTAAAGGTCAACTGAACGGTTTCGTCAATCAGATTTAATTTTACAAAAGTAAGCTACCAGTAATCCACATTAGTAGGTTTTTCCTGGTCGAATTAGTCGGCTCATCATGGTCTATAAGGGGTTCGCGAATCGGAGCATTGTGACAATGCAACGTTATAAAATACTTATACCTATAAATACTTTTAAAGTTGCTGAAAACACTTCGGCAGCGCACTTCCGGTTTCGCCCTTGGGGTTATCAGGTTCGCGTAAGTCTCGAATTTCCATCAGTCTTATGTTCTGCCGTACGTAGTTACCAAAGTATATTCACTTACGAATAAAGTTTGTGTTGCGGGAGACCAAAATGAATTCCAGCTGAATCCCCCGTTCATGGTATTCAGCTGAGTCTCCATTTAAGCCAACTTTATTCACAAATGATTGTACGCATTTGTTCCTGTCGCACACCTCGCCTGCTTTCTAAAAGCGTCTTTGCAACCCTGCAATAAGTAGTTCGTTCAGGATAGAAACATGGCCCCCCATGATGTTTCCTATTTTAGTACAGTATGACACCGGATAGATACGGTTAATTTTTTTCTACAGCCCTTGGTGAAAACCCTATTTCCGATGCATTGAGGTAAGGGATCTTTGATTCATGTGAGAACGAACAGACTTAAAATTGCGGTCAGGAATACCTGATGGGATGGGAAAACAGGATAAAGTATACGAAAGTTCCTTCCATGGAACCCAGTTTGGTGACACCTGAGGTTCCTGTTTGGAGGATGAATTGAATAGCTAACCCTTTTTTCTGTTACATCTGTTCATGTTTTGCATTACACTTTGTTTGATTTCATTTGAAATGTAATTCTCGTACAATGGACAATAAGGCTGGGAATGCTTCTAGAAATAAACCGCTATTTCTTCCCGGGATTACTAACTAGCGCTGGTGTTTTTTGGACTTTCTCCGTTATCCTGACGTCAGTCTGCTGTCAACTGTCGCAATATTGCTTGCCGTTGAAATATACAGTCTTCAGAAACCGTGTGGAAGATTTTGGTGTTTTCCACGTTTGGATTATCAGGATCATCTGTCCGCATCTATCCTTCAGGCACCATCCTTGATAACAAATCTGAAATTGCAATTGCTGGTTTCTATCGTGGTTATGCTTGGAAGGAAGTTTACTGCAATAGTAACAGGAAAATAAAACTTGTATGGCATCATGAAGCTTAGTGAGTTGAACGGGAACAGAGTAGTTCTATCTACCTCTGCCACTTCTTCAATGGGAAGGTTCCTATTGGGGTGGCATATTGAGAGGAACCACTGAGCCAGGCTGACATCTACAGTGTTCTACCGGATACTTATCGGATTTTCCCTCGCCCTTGCTGATGAAGCTCCCACCCACTAAGTTCAGCTTGAGCAAACAATAGTCTTGAAGGTGGTAACAATGACTGTTGTGTTTACTTCCCATTCGCTTGATAAATTTTCGAACTTTCGTATCGTGCTTTCCTATAGAACATGTTTATGGGACAAATGGATTTTATTGGCCTTGACCAACTCTCCTAAATCTAGTATTCTTGACCGCTCTCCGACATTCCGGACCAGTGGCAGTGATTCCTTTAGCCAACAGTATCAACTTCCCTTGACTCGAAACCTGCTTGACTCTTTTGACCGTTGGTCGCAATGGCGGTATCTGTGGAACAATTGTTTTGTTCATGAATTATTCTCCCATGGAAACGCTGTATGTTCACTCGCTTGAACTCTTGAAAGCCAACCGTGAGATCCCACCTGAGCTCACTACATCAACTGGCGTCGGGCAGAGATGTCCTCTATAGAGGGAAATGTCGGTAGCTCAGGTAGCGTAGATGGTCATTGGCTTGTTAGCTGAGCTGGGTAATTTGATTGCAAACGTTTCATCACCAATCGGGGTGACATCATCAGTGCATTATTGGTGAGCGTAGTGGTGCGTAGCGGTGGGTTAGTGGTTGTGCACGACCACCATGAACAGTTCGTCCTCCTGATCTCCGCACTGGAAACTTCGCCGCCACCCAAGGATTAACGCGTCACCGATAGCTGCTGCATTTGGTCCTGGTTGATCCATTTTTCATATCATCTACAAAACCGACAGGACCGTCGTACTTGTACAGAATTTATGGCAAAGAATAATGATGATGGTGATGGATACGTTGTCTTGGGCTACGCAAAAAGACTATCATTATTCCCATTAGACGTTTTCTGAGTAGTAGTTCTTTCAGCTGTAGCATCCTTTCGGTGCCTAACTGCCATGCCACACGAAGGTTGCACGAGGGCTGGGATACTGCCAGGTTGCCCAAGCCTAGATAGGGGAAGTCGAGTGGCAGAGATCGGGTTCGAACCACGGACCTTCTGGTCAGTAAATTCGCGCTCTAACCACTTGGGCCATCTCGCCCCCGTTTTCTGAGTGCATCATGGAGACTCTCACGTCCCGATCAGTGTCAACTGTCGAGGAACTTTGGGTGCGGCACAACCAGTGGATAGTGTTTGCAGATTACTGGGTAACTATAGTACTAGTGTACAGAGTTTGACGTGTGCATCCATACAAATTGATGATACCTGCGCAAAGCAGGAGTAATAAACTCCGGGAGGATAATTGAGGGGCGCTGATATAACTTAAACACCCTTGCATATTATTCTCGTAATCTAATTCACGTCAAATCTAAGAAACCTACATACGCCCGAAGGTGAAGTTTCAGCAGACCACAAGAAACCCAAGAAACCTTGGATGTTGGCTATGGCATGTCCTTAAAAGAGCATGGTGAGGTGTATCAATTCTGTCAAAATAGTGTATAGTCTGTTGTAAGTGCATGTGATAAAGTTCCAGGATTCGTATTTGAAGAGGGTATTGGTAGCTCATATTGTGCTGATAGCCATTCGTTCGTCCACTGAAATGAGAATTTTAGTTGCAAACGTCTGATCACCACCCGAGGTGATATCATTAGTTCGTTGTGAATGGAACTGCGTTTCCACTTCCAGCTTTGTCAGCAAATTTTATCGATTTTTACCCCCTTGGGTTACTTTTGGTAATTCTTCGCCTCGCTGGCAAAAATTTGTGATTGGCTGGGTTGTTTGTACTGAATGTACTCCAGTGAGTCCGTAAAGCTGTAATGCTCCCAGCAGCCCCTTCGAATATAGTACGTCATTTGGCCATGAAATGAATTCGCGTTCTCCCAACACAAGGTTGAGATTCTGACGCTCGACGGTGGGCTCTCATTTCAGTTAGACCTCCATCATCACTTTCCCTAACAACGTCCATTTCACTCAAATGACGCGTGAACGTAGCACATGCTTTGCCCACCACGCGTCACGTCAACATCTAGGTGAGTACCGTCATGGTCACGTGTCTCAGCGTGAAATCCTAACCAGTGCGCCTGAATTCACGTCAACATGATGAAACGGTCGAGGCCAGCAAACTCAAATGTCAACAAAGCCTTAGTTCGCGTTTGCGTTTCTAAAGAGGTAGTGTAGACTGCTCTGGTGAGTTGTAAAATACAATGAGGGTAGGTGAACTGCCTTGGACGGACAACATACACCTTAGACTGCACGTAAGGCTTCCTGAGGAACGTTGCCTGTTCTAACCTGTTTTTCCGCCTCAACTTGGCAGCCTTGCGTCGTCAGAGAATCCTCCGATTTGGATGAGCTTGAGATAGTTCGGTGGTTAAGGTGCGAACTTACTGACTTAAAGGTCCGTGGTTCGAATTCAACCCCAGCATCTCGATTGCTCCTGTCTGGGTTTGAGCACCCTGGCAATATATCAGGCCTCGTGCTTCTTTCTGGTGACCATGCAACTAAGCAGCGAAAGGGTCTACAGCTGAGCTTCTTTCTGGTGAGCATGCAGCTAAGCAGCGAAAGGGTGCTACAGCTGAACTATTATTATTATTTTTATTATTATTATTCATTTCATCTATTTCCACTTTAGGTTGACTTTCATTCCTGTACCTTATTGCCAGTTATCATATTGAACTCGTTTTCTTCCCGTCCTTACAGGTCTAACTTACAAACCAGCAACTCAAATGAAGAACCGTGATAACGGCTCATTTGATGCATCTTCTGCGGGAGTATGGTTATGTGCCTTCTGTGGAAAGGATAACAGCTTTCTCGAACTTGGAAGCCTTTACGGTCCGTATTGGGTTGCTGAAGCAGAGTGTGCCCAACTACCCACTGAAATGGTAGCCCCAAAGGAACTCCCATTTGCTAATGGTCCATCCAAGCCGTCCGATACTAATTCAAACGTCGAACGACTATCCAGAAGGGCGCGTTCTGGTGTGGTTACGTCGGCTGTTACACGATCTGGCGCCACAGCTTCTCAGGGACAGCCTACCGTTTCCAAGACAGGTGCGCTTCGTCTTGTCATCAAAGCACGCACGAATCGGACTGCGCAGTCTGCCACCAAGCCCGCTGCTGATCTCTTTAGGATTGGTCCTACCGGAGAAGTTTGGTTCCACCTAGAATGTGTTCTTTGGGCTCCTGGCACATGCATCCAAGGTAATGGGACAGTGACCGGACTGGGTGAGGCACTGCAACTATCGCTAGGCACAGTGAGTCTTTCTCCACACACTAATATTTCCTTCACGCCCAAACTAATTCGTTGTTCCTGCCCTCTTTCGGGAACGTATTTGCCCTAATGATCGGCTTAGCACACCAGCGTGCTAAGCACACTCATCACTGCACTAATAGGCTAGATGGAAGCAATGCGTCTTACATCGTTCATTTTTCTTAGTTTCTTTTTCTGATTTTGGCCAGACGATACGCAAACGACAATAATTAGGGTTTTCATTTTCGAAGGGTAAATATTTTCCGAAGCATTTTGTTGTTGCAGAGCACACGCGTAACGTTTTCCTGAGCAGTGTTAGGGTTTATATGTATACATGTAGTATTACTATAAAAAGCCTTCCTAAGAAGGACCATCCGACTAATGCCATCCACTTAACTCACAACAACCACCACGCCGGATGTTCCCGAGGAGCAATTTTCCCTCCCAACAAAAGCCAGGATGCAAATTTAGTGTTTTGGATTTTATCCTATAGTGGTGTTTCAAGTTCCCACCCGACTGATCGCAGTATACAAATATGATCCTAACATGGCCGATGATTCCAAACGTAGTTTTCAGCCACATACACCTCAATTACTCCCGTAATACCTAAAAGTAGGCCATTGCGCTGAAGACGGCACAGTAACACGTTCTCCATGATTAAACGGATAGACCAAAGCCCACTTTTGGCAATACACTAAGATGTGGAAACTTGACCAGGTACACACAAACACACTGTAAACCAGTTTCTCTAGAGTGTGCTCTTTGCCCATTACTGGGCGGTAGTGACTATCTGAGAGCTCTGGTTCTTGCGAAACTCGGACAACCGACAGGTTGAAAATGTTTGGAAGGTGTATGAAGTTGATGGAGTCGAGGAATTGCTAGATTTTCTAAAACAGTGATCAGTCGTCTTAGAAAGCTTAAGTAAGCAGTTGCTGGATATGTTGACGGGTACCTATCGCTTTTAACACGTGCTCCGTCAGGCCGACCGAATGTTGGGCGATTTCAAAACAGGCGGATAACTAGTGTGGTCGTTTTCAACTAGCAGACTAGCATTGAATGTTAATCAGTGGTTGTTGTTGGTTAGGGGGGAAATTATCATCAGGTTGAGTCGGTTGAAAGTAAGTCTAGAGCACCGCTCACAATTTTTAATCTATATCGGGCGATCGGGTTAGAGGTTGGGCTTAGGCTGCATGGTTTAGACTCTGGTAAATGGTTAAATCAGATCGGATTTGACAGTCAACAGTGATCTAACCACTGGACACATGCGCATTGTGGGGAGGCACGGACGCTTCGTGCTGAGTCTAATATGGTGCTGCGCGCAAGGCATTATCAACTATATGAACCCAGGGAAATATGGTCGGTGGGCGAACGTAGTAAAGCCTGTCACTATCCATCAGCCAGCTCAAACATGAGGCCATTACCGCACCGGTTGTCTGGTTATCATCCAAGCCCCAGCAGTATACGATTCCCTCGGGTTTCAGCTGAGCACCACCTTCCCGGTATAGTACCATTCAAATGTTACCGCGAACCGCGTTCACACTCCGTCAAGGTGTTAACCTGGTGGTACTCTGTGATTAATGATGTTACCATTTTTTGGTAGGCAGCCAATTCAAAATGAAACAAACCTATCTTTGGTCCAGGAAGCTTATTAGACAGGCCGGTGAACATACTGGTGACCTACAAAGCCGATCCTGCTAACCTGCGCGTATCGCAAACCCACACAGTCTAGGTTGCCCTGTAAAGAGTCAACCTCTTCTCAATGACTAGCTTGTTCTTGAGCATCGCCATTGTTCAAAGCCTCCCACGCCTTTTCTGCATACATCTCTATCAAGTGGCAATTACTTTCATAGTTTAAAATAGAAATTATAATTCTCAGTGTCCTCCATTTCCAACTTCGTTCGTCAGCTGACCGTAGGCAGTTGCTTTGGGATGCTTGTTCCAACCGTTGATGCTCAGGGCCGTCCAAACTGCAGGTAGTCATCAAAATGATATTTTGTGATCACGGATCCACCGGATTCATACCACCTTTTCTTCCTCTTTTTGTGTTGAATCCGTGGCTCTCAATCATTTGCATATGTTCCAAATGTTGCCTAGTTTATGGCCAAGGTTTGCAGTCACAGGTTGGTGTTGCTGATATGCGCTAATTATCTGGTTTGTTATGGCGCCCGGTAGCCTTTCCCGTACTCTACACCCTCCTCATTCTAAGCGCCATCTTGCGAAACATTGTTAGGCCAAGACACTTTCTAGATTGTCATTTTTGTGGTTCTCCTCTGGACAGTGTATTTATATGCCAGTATTTATCCTTCATGTAGCGCTGAAAATAGTCAACTATGCCAGGTATAACTGCCCCTTATTGAGCGCCACTGACACCGTGTAACTATGGAGCGAATCACTACCAAGTATATGAGTACCGCTCAAATTAAATAGTCAACTATGCCAGGTATAACTGCCTCTTATTGAGCGCCACTGACACACCGTGTAACTATGGAGCGAATCAGTACCAAGTATATGAGTACCGCTCAAATCGCCGTAGTGCACACCGGCTGTTCACCAATGTCGCCGGTGATTTGACTGGTTGCCCCCAATACACGGTGAATACTTGACACCCCTGAACACATCATCCATGGCTCCAATTTCCTAGTTTCTTTTTCTGATCAACTCAGGGAAAACTTTTCATACCTTATCAAACAAGCAGAACAAAATGGACAATCTGCATTGCTACCCATTAGTCTCAGTAAGTTCAAAGGCAACATACAATAGGCCCAGTATAGCAGGCCTTACGTATTGCATTAGTTTGAGTGCACAAATACTCTGCGACCAAATGTCAGAGGATAACCACAGGCACCTGTTTTAGCCCATCTGAAAGCATGCTTGGATAATTTTTCTTAAAAATGTTTGAAATAACTTATGCAAAGTCCTGTTGGGATTTGGAAAAAATGCAATCGAACGGCGTCGTGGTTTTTTAGTAGTTTTTCCCTCCTCTTGGGTTAGACCTAGGTAGTTCCGCCAGCTCTTCTATATTCCCGTTATTTCTCGCATATAATTCAATGTATGTGCGCCTCATTGGTGTCCACTGTCCTGCTGGACACTGTCTGCTCCCTGAGTATATGACGCTAATCCCTAGTAAATAGTTTCTCTTACTGCCTAGACGTAACATACTATCATAAGTTTTGCTGGACACTGTCTGCTCCCTGAGTATATGACGCTAATCCCTAGTAAATAGTTTCTCTTACTGCCTAGACGTAACATACTACTCATAAGTTTGACCGAAACCTCGACAGCCTACAACGGGACCATCGTAAAAGAGATGTTCAACTGGATTCAGTTGGCTCTCCTGTCTTTATCGAATTCTTGTGCAAATGAGAGTGTTTGTCGAGTTTCTGTCACTGCTTCCAGAGCCCGTCTACTACTTATGTCTTCATAGTCTGCCGCACTAGCTTTCTTCAGTTCGTGGGTGTTCTCATACTATTAATACCCTGGATCGCTTCGTTCTGCATTTCATCCCCACTCGGTGCATGAAAATTGCAACGAGCACAATATTGAGGCTACAGAAACTACGTTTCACAGAGGTTATCGGAGCGTCCATAATCGTTAGGCTTTGCCAGGAGATTTGCCGTGTTGGATGCAGATGACTTGTCAACCAAAAAGCGATGAAGTAGGCAGTAAAATGGAAGTAAATGGGAAAACTTCGATCTTTTGTTTGGTTCCGTTTATATGGGGGAAAGGTTCCCGGAAAGCAATGAGCGTGCCTTATACTTTCGTATTTACTCCACTCCTAAGGTTTCTTAACCGGCGCCGTTCATTCCGTAACCAAAAGCATACAAATTCATGCCTTTTGAGTTCTTCGTTCCCCCTGTCAGGTCTTTGGCTGACTACTGTTGTCCCCTTCTTGCATTTACCGGTAAGCAAGAAGAAAGTCTTATGTGGGATTGCATTGCTATTAGCAGAACGTAACCTCACCACCGTAAACGATATCTTGAACATCAAACTCCGGTTATGGAGGTGTTCGGACGAAGATTTCGATGACATACTTCATTGTTGGACACGCAGAATGCCACCACATGCGGCTAGAATTAGGCACCGATTATCGAACTCTTGGTGTTCAATAACTTTGCAATGAGGTCTACACTACGTTTGTGCAAATGGTGAAATGGTATCCGCTCTGCCTTTTGAGTTAAAGTGGTGTTTATCCGTACAGGTCTTCGAAATTGCATCCACCTCAATCGTTTTTATTTCAGCTCTGTTCTCACTGTGATAAACCCGGAGCCATCCTGAGTTGTTGCAGTCGAGGTTGCGACTTGAGCTACCACTACTACTGTGCACGACTTGCTGGTAAGTTTTCTCGTATGAGATTTTGATATCTTTTTGTATGTCCAGTGTTCTCTTTCATCGTATCCTCTGACGGGTGCACATACCATTTCCTCCAGTTTCCTTCACGGAATAGCAGGTACTTCCTGTAGAGGTGGATTGTGGTGGGGTTGCCGGACAGAAACCTAGGATCCTCAAATTCTGAAATTTTATCGTCTGTTTCTAAAACACTATCCACTTTTGGTTTAATGAAAACTGTCTGTGAGCTAAAGTTAAATACCGGTCGCTGCCCACTCGTGTCAGATTCTACGCTTATTCGATGAATTTGTGTTCTCTCACCAAGTGTATGTGAGTTTTCTAGACACCAAATCATCTTTGGCATGCTTACGGTCGAAGGTATTTTGGCTGGTGCAAGTAGTTACGCCGTGTGTATGTTGGAACTGGCCTCGATAATTTATTTTAGTTTTTGGATAATTTATACCTTGACTTCAAACGATCATAGTGTGCAGAGCAACTCCAGACTTATCTTACTTTGGTTTGATTAATTTTTTTGTGCTGTACAATCGTGTCTGTTGTCCACCGTCGTCGGATACCCTCAGCTTTTATCGCATCACCATCATCCTGGCCTTTCATTTTCCGTACCATACCTCGCCTAGTGGTGCCGCGTCGAAACTATCAGTCGCACATCTTTTTCATGTCGATACATCATGCTATTTTTAATAAAATGTCTCGAGAGATTTCCTAAGCTGGATCAATACGAATCCTCGATATAAATTCCCAATGACAACCTGAAGTTAAGAATTCCAAACTCTAACTCCGAACACGAAGTGCCACATCCCATTTCCCTAGCATCTTAACATACAGTGGTCTTTCGATTTCCACGGACAATTCTAGAATTTTCAGTTGAAATCTCGTTCTGTAAGTGAAGCCAGTCTGTAACAAGAAGTTGAGAAGCACTGACAGTCATCAACAGTGCAGACCCCTCGAAACAGTATACAGTTTCGAACCCGTGTTCTCTCGGTTAGTAGTTTGAATGCGTAACAGTTCAATCACGAGGGGCTGATAGCCATGTGATTACCTCATACCTGGATAGGATAGACGGCCAATCATCCTTCAGTCACGGAATTCACATCACGTGGTCAGCTGTTGGTGAGCTGCTTGAGTGTCGACTTTTCAGATAGAAGCTTCATTTTTGAATTATTATTTTGAGCTACTTATGAAAACTTGGTATTGGAGGTGATGCGTGATTTTCAAACTGCCAGCCGAGAGGTCTTGGGTTCGAAACTCCTTGGATTTTCATGAGATGTGTACTGATGACGGTTCACAGTAGAGATAAAATCGCTGTACAATGCCTCTCTGCTTTTTGACATGGTTTGACTACAGTTCGAAATATCAGTTGGTATTCCCAAATTCTCCTTGCACGTTTAAGATTACCTTCGCCCTCTTAAATAGTACGTGTATCCATAGGTCTTGCAAAAATACCGACACATGTCAAGTGAGAAAAGGTATGGTTTACAGGTCATGCGTTTTTCCCATATGCTGTTTTGTTTTCACTGCATGTACATAATTATATAATTTACGTGCTTTACTTTGGACACTGAAGAAAGTCAGTTTGATAGAGGCAAATTGGGCAACGCGCGTTGGACAGCAGGTCAACATGGCGAAGGATAGCTCTCCCTCATGGTGAACAGGGTGCTAACAGGGGTAACAACTGTGGGTGTTGACCTACAGGTTACTGTCAAGAAGACGGTAGTCGAACCTCCGTATACGTGTGCTGTAAAGCGTTTTGAGTCAGTTACCCGCTGTCATTATTCTTCTGGATGGTAACATGAGTGCGGGACACTCTAGCACCTAGAAACATGGTGGAATTCCGTAGACAGAGGTGTTGCTGCTCCACTCGCTTCATTCTACCGGCCAACACATCGCCCATGCCTTTTTCTCCAATCGATGTTTTCCCCTGCTTGGTCTTCTTCTTTTCAGTAAAATAAGGTGCAGTAGCTGAGACCGATGTAAGGTTTGTGCACGACAAACTGAACTAACCTGGTACTTATCCATCTGGATTCTCGTCTAAATATGAAGCTCCACATGTATGAGTGTACTGAATGTGTTGTTATGAATTTGTACCCAGGTCTGGGTATTTTTTATGTGCCAACTCGTTGGCAATACTAAAACGTACCGAAGCGGGTCATGTCCACACTCATAAAGTGGTTGTGTCTTTATTTTTGGCGTTTACCGCCTCAGGCTCAACCAAAGTACATTTCGACAATGCAGTCGGATATGAGTAGTTTATAAATATTTTTGTGGGCCCAAGAACTCAAAAATTCAATGTGGAAACCGCAGGGAAGTGATCTAACTGAATCTCAGTGGTTGGCTGTCACAGAGGAACCCAGAATAAGTGGACTGTGTCCTGAAGCCACCGTTTGATTCGGGACAAAATTCCTGCAACCTGCTCATGGTGTTACTCGATCATACATCACTTTCTGGTATTTCACCCATCCTTCTCATATCGTCTTCCCGTTGTTCGTGGTGTGCAGTGTGCAGCAAATTTTGAAGACTAGGTAGCCACCTATGCCCGCTGCAACGCTATTGTCATTCCCCTAATAATGTGAACTATACGAATACTTGTAGGAATAACTTGCTTATTCTCTAAATCTAGCTTGAATTACCCAATGAACATAGGTTACTTCATGCCATTCCTGAACGAATCCATTATCGGCAGCCGTGCTGTGTTTGCTGTACATATCGTATGAAGTCGTTTCAGCGATGTGTGACCATTGTGATTACTAGGAGGCAAATTTTTTATTATTTCACCTTACGGGACGCCATCAGAACCGAGTGTCGTTTACTACATCTATTCATCCTCAGCTCGATGCGTTTTTTTTACCCCAATCTCCTACCTCCAGGTTGCAAGCTAAATGATGAACAATATACTATCATGTGCAAGAAGCATCAAATCTATTCATGACTACCGCTGAACCAAATGGGTCGTGCAGACTATTCATCTCTCCTACGGTTTCACAACTTCAGACATCGTCCCAACCGCAGATGAGCATGCATTACTTTGTTGTATACGCATCCACTTCTTGGTTTAGTTAGCGCAGCCAGCTTGTACAGTATTCCTTCCAATACCCAACCCGTCCTGCTCTATGTCTGATCTGCTGTACACAACCCACCAGCTTAACCTTTACGAAGCCTGCTTCCGATCGCACATTGTTTGTTATCCACTCTATCCATAGACCGCCTCTTCAACCTTCTCGTTGCTCTCCACTCTCAAGCAAGATCCTTCGCGTGTTTTTTGTCCATTTCCCAAATCTGTTTGTTCTCTGTTACACTGCGCAGTACTATTTTGTCTACTTTTTAAAAGTCATATGTACTCCCCCTTTACCATGGATGTGACCTAATGGAGCAGAATGAATTATTGATTCGTTCGTGTAATCCGTGTATTCTACACCTGGTTGGGGTCGTTACTAACACAATGACCAAACTGGACTCATGATAGAAAATCCTCATTGCGGCTGTTCTCGCATGTTCGAATGTCAATTGCAGTTTGTGGTTGGTGAGCGTACGAAGTGAATTTTGGATCGATTGCTTAGAAAAATGCCGCAGCTAATGGAGCAGAGGCGTAGTGAATCTATTTTAGGACGAAGACGGGTTGCCATGATGCGGTTTATTAATCTCCTATAGGGGGATTGGTCAATCAGAAGTTAGCCTTTGCAAATAGTGCACAATACGGATCGTTTTGGTTATCCAGATCGTTCGTTCACGTCCAACATTGTCTAGTAGACCACAATAAACTCTGTGTTCGGCTGGCAGTTAGACATGACGGCGGCTTTAGGGTCTTCGATGAGCTTCGATCGGCAACAGAGACCTAGTTTCATCGGGTCGCACGCAAGACCGTGCCGTACAGTTGACCTAAAACAACCACCAGAACCGTAATTCGATTTCCCGTCATGTGGATATCGATAACGATTTTAAAACTTCGGTTGCATCTTTCGTTATCGTGAGCTACATTCACGTTAGTCTGGTGGCTGGTACTGAGCTCAACTCAGCAGACGGATGTCGAATGTCAACTTGGTGCTGCATTCCCAACCCGCTCATGACACCAGCACCGAAAACTACGTGGTGTCATACATCGTACTTTCGGCCAAACCTACAGGGCGATTCTAAGTAACCAAAGCAAAAATGAGTTTGAGCGAGCCGACCAAAACAACCGTTGCCTCAGTCCGTTCACGTTCTCCCACCCGAGCGCACTATAATTCCACGGAGCTGATATCGTCGCGACCACCAGACGAGTGAATGATAAGGAACTCGGGGATTCCTCATCTTTTGCAATCCTCTGCTTGACGCATTGGTTACTCGTGTTCCAGGGCTGCAAAACGGAAATAAACTTGCAAAATCCTTGGGTAGCAATTCTACCGCAGAGACCAGATTCTCCCTGGATTCCTTGTGTGGAAGTTGTCTGTGTTTTAGCGCACAACCTGGCAGGTATGGACCTGTTGAATATCACTTCATGGGGTTACAACCTAATTCATGTTTTTTTTATAGCTCGACAGTATCTCACTGCCATTGAAACTACACTGGTCATCCTCATCATTATTGACAGCAACACACCAGTAATACACATCGGCTGTACCGTTATCAGGTAGGAAACGAAATTGGGTTGGTACATGGAACTAGGTAATGTGTTCGGAATCTCGCGTGTACAGTACTGACTTCAATTTCAGGACCTGTTTTTCTTGGGAGCAGGGCTTCGATCATCTAGGTTACGAATTACAAAGTTTGGCGAACGGTACGAAAACTCTTCCTTATTCCAACCAGTTGTTCGGGTCCCTCAGTTTGTTTAAAGTAGGTAATTCTACTTTGGGAAAAGCTTACTTGAGTTAATTTGTTATTAAATCACAGAATGGATTGCCGAGGGACGGTGGTCAACCATTTTGCTTTGGTTAATCTCCTAATACAAACGAAGCTATGCTGAGTTTTGTGATGTGGCTGGAGAATCTGTGAATGACCGAATAAATGATTGAGGTGCCCCCAATGGGTGAGTTCGTAAGATGCCTGTATGAAGGAGAAGACTTATGCTTGAGGGCAGGCGAAGGTAAACAATGGTAGTTCAAGTAGCCTACATTCCCGGTGGTGTTCACCGAGCTGGGTAATTTGATTGCATGATTGATGGTGTCATTTCGGTTGACAATAAAACGTTAACAATTAACTCAGCCATCGAATGACATTTTGTTAAGTCCTTCAATTCAACTTCGTTCTGCCTGAATAAGACTGTTCTGGTTCCGATAACACTCGGACTTGGTGCCATTTATGAACAGAACATAGCGATAAGAAAAATAATGATGAGTTGTGTCTCAGTCCTCATGATAATCAAGCTTGCCTCGGAAGGATGAATTGGCGGTTGTTCTTCGCTGTCAGATAAACGATGCTATTTTTTGAAAAAAGCCAATGCCTCATAAATTTAGTTTGGTTTCTTCTTTGCTCTTACCTTATAGATCTGATCTTATAGAGTATGTCAATACTGTGTTCTCTTCGTATTAGGTTTCAGTAAGATAAGACAGCTAATCTGCCCTGTTCCGGATAGTAAGCTGACACCTTTGAGCTTACTTGACACTGCTGTGATCCAAACGAGTCCCGTCTCCACTCCATACCTTGTGCTCTTCCGAATTCGCGATCCGACAAAATCCAAAGGATCAAACCCTTCACAATTCCACACGAAAATCGACACTCAACTAACTCACAATGGAGAACAACACAGTTTCTCCTGACTATTCACCCTAAACCGGTGATGTATCTCTCACAAACAAGTAGTTTATTTTTTCGGTAGATATCCAGCCAGGTTACGAAGTTTCACAATGATTAAAAAAAATGAAATTTTGGCCTCGTAGTGGGAAACCCAGTGGGAAACCCAGTAAGCCAGCAAGGTAGGATTAAGATACACTCCATTTGATTGCTATTGCTCCTTACAGCAAGGACCGAATCTGTGTTACTGGTGAAACCTTCACCCGTTTTCTCACTTCAGAACACTAGCTACAAATTGTTGGCCGCAGATTCCTCATGACTAATCATTTTTCATACCAAGTACTTCACCACCCCCGCTGCTCAACATTCCTCCGTCTTTAGGCCCACTTAATCGCACCCAAATTAACTCCCGCCCACATTCAACCCGACTATACTTTATCATCCCAAATTTTCACCTAGAATTACCCCTTCCGTTAGGACAAATCCATCTTTCCTCCAGTTCTGTCCCACTACCTCTGTACAACCTCCTGAAATTCGTGGGATGATAAAGAAAACGTTAGGAAGGGTCATTCACTTAAATAGGCTGAGTATATCTGATAGCGTCGCACTAGTGAATTTTTTTTAGCGCTGGAACGTTTGCTGTATGTCTCAGGTTTACAAACCATCCGTGTTCGTATATGCACTGCGTTCACCAACCTAATGTATCTCCACTTAGTCCAGGCTTACACCAACATATTACTTCTCAAGCCGCCTCTACAGATGTTGGCGCGTGTTACTTTAAACCAACTGAAGGTCGTGTAATGTATGTTTTAATATCGCATTTCATTGTTTGGACTCCATTTTCACTTGGAGGCTTATTGATACTGAAGCGAAACTTGCGAAGTGTCGACAGAATACGCTGAGGACTAATTTACCTCCCCCGACTCATCCAAGATTACGGGTTATTCTTCATCCTCATTTAGGACTGGCTGTTGATTCATTGCGCAGTTTACACCTCCCATTAAGCTTTGTTTTGACCTTTCAGATATCTGAGCTGATTTCCGTGATGTGCACATACGATGTTAGGAAAATTTAGCCAGAACTGACTCTTCATGGGGGCCATCAGCCTTCCAGGACCCACATATCTCAAGTCAGTGCGTGACTCGATTTTTTTTCCTTTTGAAGCGTTTTGTAAATTCCATCGATGATCAAACTTTCGACCGCTTTGTATCCGTCTTCTTATGCTTTTTTAACCTTCTAAATTCTCAGCTCTGCTGTGTGTAGACAGTTTTAAAATCTAGCACTGGCGTTTAAATCTGAGACGGTAAACTGTCAGTACTCTCCCTTGGGAGTTTTAAAACTACCCTATTCAATAACAACTAAGTTAAATGAAGGGCGTAATTCATCTACTTGCAAAACTCTTCTGCGACTTACCCTGGAATCGTCGATGCCACTTTTTCTGTGTGAGTACTTTGACCAGGGTCTAGATATTCTTCAGCTACTTTCGGCTACATATGCGCTTCCGAATTTCGATCAGAGTGGTGTGAATGGACGGCTTTTTATCCACTGTACTTTCTATCGAGAAGGTCTACATGCTAGGTGATTAGCTTCGTAGACTGTTCCCAAGACAGAGACCATGTCGCAGAAAAAAACATATTCACAAAGTCAGAGACTGGGGGCGAGTTCCGTGGAACGATCTGTTGTGAAACGTTTGCTAATGAAGATTAGTCTAGAATGGACTATCAGTGCCCAATACAAACAAGGTTGGATGGCAGGTTTTTGGCAAGTTACTGTTTGTGAAGTGACATCATCCGAGCCTGAATGCGAACAGCTCTGTGATTTCTAATTAATGGCTCATGAGATGAATTTCCCAGAATTTAGAGGTATAGGTAGGCAAGGAAGAAAAGCGATGTCTGCGCATCTACCGGGATCTTTCCTCCCCTAAGTGAAGCCAGTCGCTTCTGAAAAGCCGAGAAGCACTGTGTAGCCGTCCCAATCTTACTGGAGGTTTTCAGCAGTGCGCAACTCAGGAAACTCAAGGGGAGTCTTGAACTCGTGCGAGTTAATCACGCTGCAGGCCAAGCGTCTAAATATCCAAACTGACAACCAGGAGGACGCGGGTTTGAGAATTCTCGGGGTATTGGCAGATGCGCACAGCGGACTATTCCCAATATTTCTGAAACAGCTGTACGGTACTTCTCGTCTCCTCAACGCGAATGGACTTCACTTACAGTAAAAAAATCTCTCGAGAATCCCGAAATCTCCTCACAGTATCAACCGGAAAAATCTGCCAACCTTACGATCCCAAAATGATGTTTGGCATCAAAATAATGCAACTTGACATTTGTTTACCAATGGGATAGAAATATGTTTAAATCCACCTTATTTTTTGACCGCTTTACTTCGTCAGCGAAAATTCCAAACTGGTTTATCTGCTTTTGCCACGACGGGTGTTTTGCAGCTGAAGGTTTCGTAGACTTCAATGGGGGTGTGAAGTTGGTCTTTTCAGAAGTACACCAATGGATTTTCGCTCAAATGTACACAGCGTTTGAACCATTTACGTGCATTTACGTGCCAGCGGAAATTCTTTTCATACGCGCGTTACGTTTTGACGATGCGTTCAGTCGCTGCAGACAGCGAACACCTAGACGAATTGTGAGACGTGCATTACGCTGCAACTAGTGAGTAGCATGTTATTTAATAATATTTCATCACGTATGCTAGGTTTCAAAAGACAGTTTTCATCTCACGTAAAGGGAGGTATATTAGACCGATTGTGTCTTATCATGTGTCTCACAACCGTACCTGTACCAGCTTTTATAAGACCAGCAGGAGGGGAATAAATGAGTAACTGACGGCGCGTGAGCTGAAAACTTGCTGTCATGGACAGAGCCTTCAACGAAGGTGGGACAGGTTGTCTGAGATGAACTTCAAAACACACTGGCCCAAATGGCTGTAGAAACAGGAAAAAGTTGTTCCTCTTTGATCAATAGGTTTTGTTTAATAAACATAGCTATTTTATATGACGTGGAATTACATTTCAACCGGATTTACACTGCAGTCTTGTCTTTGTTGGGCTGGATAATGATAATCAAATTACTAACATTTGTTTAGCCGGGCATTGACAAATCGACTTACTTCAATGACTTCGAGGCGTGAACTTCTGAATAACAACGGGCCTGCGTGGTGTTCCATCTCTCGAGAATCCCGAAATCTCCTCACAGTATCAACCGGAAAAATCTGCCAACCTTACGATCCCAAAATGATGTTTGGCATCAAAATAATGCAACTTGACATTTGTTTACCAATGGGATAGAAATATGTTTAAATCCACCTTATTTTTTGACCGCTTTACTTCGTCAGCGAAAATTCCAAACTGGTTTATCTGCTTTTGCCACGACGGGTGTTTTGCAGCTGAAGGTTTCGTAGACTTCAATGGGGGTGTGAAGTTGGTCTTTTCAGAAGTACACCAATGGATTTTCGCTCAAATGTACACAGCGTTTGAACCATTTACGTGCATTTACGTGCCAGCGGAAATTCTTTTCATACGCGCGTTACGTTTTGACGATGCGTTCAGTCGCTGCAGACAGCGAACACCTAGACGAATTGTGAGACGTGCATTACGCTGCAACTAGTGAGTAGCATGTT